TGATGAGTCTCCCTCCAGTTCTGATGCCACATTCCTCCTCATAGAGCTCAGCTTCTTGGATAATCTGTGTAGATTGAAAATATATGGAGATAGTCACACACCCTTCCCAATTTTGAACCATGCAGTGTTTTGTTGCTCTGTTCTGACAACTGCCTCCTGGCCCAAGCATAATTTTCACATAAGTACAATCAAGTGTTCTGGGATTCTCATTCTTCTCAGAGTCAGCTACAGTTTATTGTGATCTACACAGCTTACAACACTACACAACATAAATGCGTCTGGAATACGTAATGCTGAGTGAAATATTTCAGTCACAAAAAGACAAATACTACATAAGACCACTGTTGTGACAATAGGATGGCTATGGTAGGGGTTGGAGGAGGAGCACAAATGTTATAAGTGATAAATGTCAGAAGGGACTCTGAAAATTGTACTAGAAAGTTGAGAAGCCAAACAAAGGGAAGAAATACCAAACTAAAAGAGTTGAACAGAAGATTTCAAAAGGCAACTCAAGGCGACAAAGCAAAAAATTGTACAACGAAATGTACAAGAGCTAGAGTCAGGAAATAAAAATAGAACTAGTTCTGCATTTCTTAAGCTGAAAAAACTGAAGAACAAATTCAAGTCTCAAGTTGTAATACTGAAGGATACTATGGGCAAAATCATAAATGAGGCAAGAAGCATCAAATGAAGATGGAAAGAATAGAATCACTGTACCAAATGAATTGGCTGGCAACCATTTCAGGAATTACCATATGATCAAGAACCAAAGGTAACGAAGGAAGAAGTTTAAGCTGCTCTGAAGGCATTGGCAAAAAATAAGGCCCCTGGAATTGATGGCATACCAATTAACATGTTTCAACAAATAGGTCCAATTCTGTATATGTTCACCAGGCTGTGCAAGAAATTTGGAAGCCAGTCACCTGTCCAACTGACTGAAAGGTATCCCTATTTTCCCCTATTCTCCAAAAAAGGTAATCCAACAGAATGTGGAAGTTGTCTAATAATGCCATGACTATCACATGGAAACAAAATTTTCCTGAAGATTAATTTAAAACAACTAGAATAGTACATTGGCAGGGAATTGCCAGAAATTCAAGCTAGATTTAGAATTGTACATGTAGAAATTGTTGGATAGGTCAGTATTTTGTTGGGCTCGCTCTCTCTCTCTCTCTCCCCCCCCCCCACCTCTCCTTTTAATTCTCTCTCACACACACAAAAGAACAAGGTGGGGAAACCAAACAAATTCCTCTAAGTGAATTGTAAACAGAGTGATAATACTATCGTTGATATGAAGGGAACATCAGAATATGAATGAGTAATATAAACATTATGTTTGGTAGTGAAACAAAGAATACAGATATTGTATAACATTTACATGATAATGTTGTTGTTATGTGCCGTTGAGTCGCTTGCGACTCATAGTGACCCTATGTACAACAGCCCTAAACTCTGCTCTGTCCTGTGCCAATCACACTGTCTCTGACACTCTCATCCAGATTATCCCAGTCACTGAATCAATCCACCTCATAGAGGGCCTTCCCCTCCTGTGTTGTCCTTCCACC